AAGTTTTTGTAAAACAATACCACAAAAACCTTGTAACGATCGCTCGATACCATTCTCGTGGCGTAACCTCCTAAATTATAGGGCCCATATGCACTGCCACCGTCCAACGACCTTTGACATTTATGCATATGTTACCGATAACTTAAGAAGATCGTCGGGTGTCCTCGGAGAACCCCGAATCATCCACGATTTCCGAAAGCAGGATCACATTACGTAGTCATTGCAGTATTACAACATTTATCCAAATATCAACACGAGTAAATCAGCGGAAGTCTTACAATAACTTAGTTTACAAAACATTTATTTCAAACCTTACAAACTAAGTTCGATTATTATTACAAAAAACGAGAGTGGAGTGGCATTATAATATATACAAAACACACAAATATCACCGCCTTCGCCTAAGGGCCACACATTACTTATCATCATCGATGAACAACAAATCATGCAAAGACGATCCAAAACAGATCCGCTCATGAGCCTCACACTCGCAACAAGGGTCAATCGAACCCCGAGTAATGCGAAAGTACTCAACAAGACTTAACCGAAATGAAAACCGATAAGACTCGGGAATGCAGTGCTCGAGGATTCAAGGTATGGCTTTAGCAATAATCAAAGTTCTTTTGCTTAAAAGCATTTTAACAAAATTCTTTGTATCAATATTTAAAATCTCATCGGATCATATACAAAGTCGACACGATCCGTATTAAGATCATGAAACTTCATATCCAACACTTTCACGAACCATTCTCGAGTTCCAGTTTATTAATCTACGATGATGATCGAGAATTGAGTCTCCATAACCGAGGAGCAACGACGATTCGAACCGATTATAAACCCAGCTGGGGAATTCCAGACCACACGACATATGTAGGTCCCTGACCTACATATACCAACCTACCCTTGGATCCTCTGAAACAAGAACGGGTCCGCGCCACCCGAGAGCACAGCACACCTCAAATCCGCCACATTCCAGCCCACGAGGGTACACGCTACTCCGCCATCTCTCCACTCCCAAAGGCGCGAGTAGCCATTCTCGTAATAGAATCGCCAAGTTTAGGCTTACCGGAGTATGTGGTTAGTACTACAAATTCTCAACTCACAGGTCAACAACGGTACGGACCTTAATCGACACAAAGCGGAAGAACCCGCCACAAGACCTCCATGTCTTGTGGCTCACACACACCGAGTCCGCCCGGTCTAGATTTATTACTCCACATTCCCATATCACATGCTAACATAATTAACCAATGTTCCATTTAAAACTTGCAGGTGACAGGTATCACCCAACTCTGATCGGTCTAAGCAGAGCTAAGCATAACTAGGCATACACGATTTTTTTTAAACGGTTAACAAAGTAGATATGGAACAACAAGGTTGGTAATGCAACAATTAGGTTTCCACTTGACTTCTAATCACTTAATGCAATATTGAAAAGCAAAAGCGAAATCAATTTGTAAAATACAAGGTAGGGTTATATGCATCCGGGCTTGCCTTCGTTGACGGAAAAAGTCGGCTCTGCGACGCTTTCACACGCCTTCGATCCGACTTCAACAGATGCAGATCAACCTCCTCCGCAACTTGATTAACTACCACGCGTTCACCTTCGTTTACTACACGTAGTAACATTGCCATGTTTACATGATGGGGAATATGAAACATGATGCTCGATGATGGATACAAAAATAAATAAATTGGATACAATTTTTCTTCGCAAAGATCTGATTACAAACCAAATTAACCAAACCATATTCAGAATCGATGTGACCACGCTTAGCACCGCTCACTTTGGTGAACTCTCCGACCACTATGGTGAACCACCCACCACTATGCCGAGCTATCCGACCACTATGCCGAGCTATCCGACCACTATCTTTGAGCTATCCGACCACTATGCTTTGAGCTATCCGACCACTATCTTTGAGCTATCCGACCACTATCTTTGAGCTATCCGACCACTAGGCTGAGCTATCCGACCACTAGGGTGAGCTATCCGAAGCAAAGATCGCCGGTGAGGGAGAACCGCGATCGCAGCGATCAAAATGAGTAAACAACAATCGACTAAAGACTGCAGACATCAAAACGAAACCGTAAGTACATCGACATGCATAACGGCTCACCGAAAAGCTCGCCACGATGACACGCTCATAGCGGTGAAGTTGTCGACCTCGAGGAAGAAAAAACGTGGATGCGAAGTTCTCGGCAATTTCAGCGATCAAGGCTAGCTGGTTGGATTCGCAAGGAAAAGACGGAACTAGGACGGCTTTTACCGAGATGGCAACAGCGCTTAGGGAGACGATGCGAGCTTGTTGGAGCGATGACAACGACGGTGGTGAAAACAAAGGAAGAAAAACGACGATGACGACGCCTTGGTACTTATAGCGCGCAGAAGCTCAAGGAAGCCACGACGGAGCTATTCCCGTGCAATAGCGACATCAAAGACGCCCGACGACACGCCTGGAACGCCAAGAAGGAACGACGGCAATGTAGCTTAGGCGGTGAACACTGTTCACAAAATTACAAAATTGCCATACGCCAAAAATTCACAATTTACTCTCAAATTTTTCATAACAACTCAAAATCTCCAAAACAAAAGTTGTTCAAATTGAAAGTTCTACAACTTTGCTTCTATAACCATCTCCTAATTTCGTCTAGATTTTGAAATGGATTTTCGTGGTAGGATTTAAAATGTGAAAAGCGGGATTTTCTCGAAAAATTCAAAATCCAAACAAACTTTGAATTTAAGTCAAACAATACAATTCAACACATACCACATGAATATAAACTTGTTTTAGTGTATGCATCTCAAAGTTTTCACCAAATGCCAAATGCTTTGCAATGCATATGATGACATGTCAGGTTTTAGTATTTTAAACACCCGAGGTGTTACATTTATGTATACTAAGTATGCACTTGTACCAGTAGTAGCAGCTTAGATGGTGAGATGCAGAGGTCTTTTCAATGATTTGCCTGCAATACTTGTACTAGCAATAGCAACTACAAGCACCCTTCTTACTGTTTTGGATTACATAGTGCTTTTATTCTATTAACTTTCCATTTTTGTTTAGTGACTTTTTCTTCCATCATGGCTATGTAATTTATAGCAGGTAATGCCTTGACACACTTATATCAATGTTGACAAAGCAGCTGATGTCTTGGTCCACTAGAAGGTCTTACCAGAAGCAAAGGATCCTGATAGGTGACCTGCATTCCATGTCTGTTTCTTGAGGGTAAAACTCTTTCTTTTGTTGCTTTGATAGGCGACCTTCACTTAACTTTTGGTCTCCATAGCTTTGTATTTAGCCAATACTACTACTATAGCATAGTGAAGTTGATTCTTGTATGACTTGATTGTACTGTATGATGAGTCGTATAATATCATGTAATAAACAAGATGTACAATATCATTTGCGTTGTATATAAGAACCTGGCAGCAGAATATATAATGCATGATGGCTTTTTAACCATGGTTAACTACCCTATACATGACGGCTTCTTATCGTCATAACAGCGAGCATGAACCAGGGTACGTACTCGGCATTTGTGACGGTTCATACATTAAGTGACGCGTTGACTAAACAATACGTGACAAATACTATTGTCATAAAAGGTAACAATATGTGACGACCGAATGATACCGTCACAAAAGGTCATGACATTTTGTGACGGCTCTCCATATTATTGTCACAAGGTATATTATGTGACGGTCGTTATATGACGACCGGCATGACGCTGCTTTTTCGTCATAAGATACTTTTTATGACAAATTTTGTACTTACCATGACAGTTTCTGTTTGTCATACAAACCCAGATTTTTTGTAGTGGCGGTAGCAACACAAAAAGACTCTAATGCCCTGGAGGCATGAGCACATTGTACAGGAATATACCGGAATATGCCTTAGTTGCCCTAGGGGTATTTTTATACTCGACAAATGATGTAACCGTACCCTATAAAAGGGGGAAGTGAGTCATCCCATAGGGGAGGATGGCGTGTAATTCAAAACCCTAACTATTGCCTCAGTCATTGTGTGAACTTCATTTTTATATTCGTGCCTCCGCTAGTCGAAGGCCTCCGCCCCAGAGCGGAGCATTCGAACCCTAGTGTCAAGCTGCAGCAAGCTCGCCCCTCTATCCCACTTTCACTTAGAAAACCCTAATGAGTTTCCTCCTCGGACCTTTGCCCTGGGACCTTCGGACCTTCGTTCGGGACCTTCTACCCAGAACCTCAGTCTTGGTACCTCGTCCAACCGGTCTTCGTCCGGAACCTATGTCTTGGGATCTCCGCATGAGACCTCACACCGTCACTCTCTCTATTGGGACCCCTATTTCCCAGCAGCAAGATATATTATTTTTTTTCTTATTTTGGCGGCGGATGAAGATGGCCGCGACTCGGATTACTGCAGTCTGCAGCAGGGATATATGCATGATTCAGAATGGACAGCCATATCCATATATATGGAACTGAAAGGTACATATATAATGGCCGAAGTTGACATGTCTCACTCTCACCCACCCTCCTAATATAATACTGCATATGCCATATAACAGCAGGGCATATGCACTAGTCTTGAATTTTAAACATCGGCAAATGGTCACTGATATCCATTATTAGTACAATATTATGTTCTTGTTGGCGCTAGCTAGCCAATATACAACCTTATCTCCAGACAAATTTTCTATGAATTTGTAGCAGTTGACATTCTCCGGCCCCTTCATTCACACATCGTATCGTACGTGTAGTACAAACGCAGCAGCAGCGCAAGTACGTACTGTATATATGCGTGATCTTTTTGTACTTGTTCGTTGCGAGATGTGTGTTTTCGTCAACGACTCATCTCTGTTCGATTTCGATGACATGCGTGATGTACTTGCAGTACGTATATATGTAGTATATATATGTACTCGGGTACAACAGGCTAGCAGCTATATATACCTGTAAATCTGTAGTGTATACTACTACTACTAACCAGAGGTAGCTAAAGCCAACAACTCTAGATACGATGGCCGGCGTCGCCGCAGCAAGAGCAGCGGCAGCAGCGATGGCAGCGGTGGTGCTGCTCCTGGTTGTGTCGGCGCCGCCGTCGGCGGACGCCCACGTAGTGATCGGCGCGTACAACACGACGTGCCCGCAGGCCGAGGACGTGGTGCTTACGGAGATGACGGCCATCGTGGCCAAGTCGCCGGACCTCGCGGCCGCCGTGCTCCGCCTCTTCTCCGTCGACTGCTTCGTGGGCGGCTGCGAGGGCTCTATCCTGCTCGACTCCACCGCCGGCAACACCGCCGAGAAGGACGCGCCGCTGAACCAGGGCGTCCGCGGGTACGAGGTGGTGGACGCCATCAAGGCCAAGCTCGACGCCGCCTGCCCCGGCGTCGTCTCCTGTGCCGACACGCTCGCGCTCGCCGCGCGAGACTCCGTCAGGCTGGTACGCAAACGTTCCTAGTAACTGAAGCATGCATGCATGCATCAGTAAGAAAGAATTAATACTGAGTTTAATTTGATGGGCAATGCATGCATCAGTAAGAAAGAATTAATACTGAGTTTAATTTGATGGGCAATGGCCACATATGTATGTGCAGACGAAAGGCCCGTTCATCCTGCTCCCAACTGGTCGGAGGGACGGCAACAGGTCCGTGGCCGCCGACGTCGCCCTCAACTCGCCGCCGCCGGGCGCCAACATCACCGACATCATCGCCCTGTTTGCTAAAAAGTTCAACCTCACCGCCAAGGACGTCGCTGTCCTCTCCGGTATAGTCCTATATTATTATTATATCCGATCTCCCCTGCCCCTTGCCCAAACTCAAATATTTGTCTTTTAATTTGCTCACGAAATTCATAAGAATTGTCTTGGGAATGCAATTCATTATTACGCTGTAGTGTAGATTTTGTTCCATCACATATATGTAATTACCTCTCAAAGTTGTTTATTTAGGTTTTTAAAAATTTTGCACGAACCCAACCTTCTTCTTGGATCAGGTATGAGGAGGGGAAAATGAAATTTTGAAACACTGCAAACCCACAAAAGAAAACAAAAGAAATAGTGAAAGAAAGGAAGGCTTATTGGGCCGCCTTCACGGGTCGGGCCATTGGAGAATTCAATGGAGGATTGAATATTAGGCCCACTGGTTACTGGTATTTCAGTTCGCATGTGACTAGTCCATCAACCATTTTTTCTGCGTCGGCTGAAAATCCTCGACGTTTTTTCAGGCGCACACACGATCGGGAAGGCGCGGTGCTCGACGGTGTCGCCGCGGCTGTACAACTTCGGCGGGCAGAACGGCGCGTCGGACCCCACGCTGGACGCCAACTACACGGTCACTCTCCGCGGGCATTGCAAGCCCGGCGACAACGCCACCCTCGTCTACCTCGACCCTCCCACGCCGACCACCTTCGACGCCGACTACTACGCCCTCGTCGCCGGCAACAAGGGCCTCCTCTCCACCGACGCCGCACTCCTCCTCGATGCCACCACCAGCGCCTACGTCGCGCGCCAGGCTAACGCCACCGCGCCGCCGGGCGAGTTCTTCGCCGACTTTGCCACGTCCTTCGTCGCCATGAGCAAGCTCGGCGTGCTCTCGCACCACAATGGCGAGATCAGGCAGGTCTGCTCCAAGGTCAACCCGCCGTCGCCGTCCAGCAGTACCAACGCCGCCGCTGCCAAGCTGACCGCCACCGGTGGGTTGGCAGTGGCACTCGCTCTAGCTGTGGCTCTCGTGCTCTAACCACTGACGACACAGACTCTGCAATCTGCCATGCATATACGACAGCCAGCGCATGGTGGTTGCTAGCTGCCTGTTTATTATGATTTGTTTCAATTTGGTGATTTAATTTCCTCTGATTTGTGTTTGCGTGACTTGATGTGTTGGTTTCCATGATTTCGCATGGAATTTGCTTTGCATGGTTTTTCGTTGTCAATTACATTGGGCAAGTCCAGTTTGTATTGAGACCTCAAATAAAATGTACACGCACCGCATGCTGTCCCCTAAAAAGGATGCGTTTGTTTCATCTTTTTGCCGGTTTTTTTAGCATTACAGAGCTTCCATTAATCAATAACGGGAGTACAATCAGCTGCTGCTAATCCCGACAACCAATCCGGGATATAGTCGAGCCAGAAAAACGAGCGTTCGGTGGCCAACACCATACATGCACAGCAATGGGACACCGAGTTGGCTTTCCTACGCACCCACGCAACACGAAAGTCGACAAAACTCGTGCCTAGCTCTGTAATATCGAGACAAAGGCCCCCGATAGCCGATCTCGTACCATCATCACCATCTAGCAGCGTCTTGAGGCCACTGCAATCAACCTCAAGGATAACTTTGTTATAGCCATTTTCCGCTGCAAGCTCAAGCCCTTCCTTGGCCGCCATAGCCTCTGCGTCAGTGCATCCGGCACATCATCAAGCCATCTTGCCGCTTTGTGAAATGATGAAAGAAACAGTTCAGTTGTTGGGCTGACTTTTGAAAAGCTGAAAAACTGGCTCACGAATAAATAAACTATAAACTAAAAAAAATGTTGAGAACAACTTTTCTCTTTCTTGGTATGCTGAGAAGCTATAATAAACTAATAAAAAGTAAAAAACATGATGAAAACAGCTTTTCTGGTTTTGATGTGCTAAGGGCACCACTAATGGAGGCCGCACATGCTGTTGGCCTCAGTGTTCGGCTGGCATTTTTTGGCGGGTTGGTTGGCTTTTTTTCCAGCGGGAGCAGTGTTTTTTCTCTCACAACGTTCCAGTATAAACAATGTTTTCTAGTATGAACAGTGCAAATTTAATGCCAGCCGAACACTACCCTTGGCTAAAATGACCGGTACACGTAGCTCTAGCTAACACACTCGAATCGGAGACAGCTTTACTTTTTTACTGCACCATCACATCATGTCCCTTTCCAATCTCTCCTATTCTTTTCCACTCCTCTACTTTTTTCTCCATGGACCACACTCCCTACACATCTTCCATATATAGTAGCTTCATCTTTTGGTCTAACAAGATCGCTACTTCTTCTGCAGGCCACTCTGCGCACTGCAAGGTTACAAGTCTTTTTGACGTGGATGTTTGGCGTCAACGTGGCGTCTAGGGCAGTACGCCACGTACTTGCGCTGGGGAAGCCCTGAGAAGCTATAAATTTATTACAAAAGCCTTCGGCAAAATTACAAGAGCTTGAAGCTAAAAGTCAGAAAGGCCACTTTTGAGTTAAAAGCTCAAAAACTGTAGCTCAAACAAACAAACAAACCCAAAAGCTAAATGGAACAGTGTGTAGTGCATATTTTCTCAAATGTTTTAAATAATCAATAAAGTATACTGTTAGTTTTCCACTTTATATTTGATTTTATCATATTCAACAATTTGAGATGACAAAGTAATAAAACAATCAAAGTAAAAACATTTTGTTCATACCCATATGCATGCTCTGACGAATCGGAAAACATCTTCCACTATAATAAAAACACCTTCCATACCCATATGACATGCCTGGGTGTCCCAAGAACAGTCGTTGAGCATTACCTAAATGTAAAACCTAGCTCTAAACCAGCCAGGCAATGCCTACATCGGTTCGACGACAATAAGCAACCTCGCCATATCCATTAACGAAGGCAACCTTGCCATCTTCATAGGAAGTTGGGAATTTGAGCCTCATATGGAAATGTAGGGGGGTGAAAAAATACCCTGCCGCCGTTCATTGCCCCGTCACTAGTTGGTTTCTTCTTCGACTGCAGGCAACCTCTTTGCCAAGCATATATCCCCACCCCACTCATCCTTCTCCCCTCTAGTGAGCTTCTAACCATGTCCACATCTGTTTCATATTCTCAATGAAAATTGACGCAAAAAATCCGTGCAATCGCCAAACATAAAGGTCCTAATGCTAACAAAAAAAAATCTTTATCAACATCTTAATTTGGTGGTTCTATGAAAAAATGACTCCAGAAACCAGAATATCAAATCATTATAATATCTTTTCAGTTTTTATTTTATTTGAAATAAATGACTTTGTTGTGTAAAACTATCATCAGGAAATTAAGGAGTCAAAATAATGTGAAAAAAGTTCACTCAAGTTTATAAAAAACGATTAAGTTAATCAAAATCATTATTATATCATTTGTTTTTTGTCATCTAATATAAATAAAATATTATATAAAGCTATATATTTTGTAAAATCGATCTCCATTCTAGTCAGGCCAGTAAAGTTCCTGCCTAGGATCCCCATATAACTAGTACTATCTTGCTTGCAGTGCAAAGCCAGTTGGCACTGCTATAAATACACATAGCTGTGCCCAAATATGATCAGCCAATTCAATCTTTGCTGCTGCCCAGCTCAGTCATTCCAGATATATAGGAGTATACTCCTAAGCCAGTCATATACAACAATTAATACTGTAGCTAGGAACAAACAAGGTCCGTCGAGTATCCCCAATTGCAATTCCCCACCAGTCAAGAACTCAAGATCGATGGCCGCCGCAAGAGCAAGAGCAAGAGTAATGGCAGCAGCAGCATCACTGGGTCCTGCGGCGGTGGCGGTGGCGGCGGCGGCCGTACCCCTTCTCCTGATCGGTGCGATAGCGATGCCGGCGGCGGAGGCTCAGGTGGTGGTGATGGGCGCGTACAACGAGACGTGCCCGCAGGCAGAGGACGTGGTGTTCAAGGAGATGACGGCCATCGTGGCCGAGAAGCCCCACCTCGCGGGCGCCGTGCTCCGCCTCTTCTCCCTCGACTGCTTCGTGGACGGCTGCGAGGGCTCCATCCTGCTCGACTCCACCGCCGGCAACACCGCCGAGAAGGACGCGCCGCTGAACCGGGGCGTCCGCGGGTACGAGGTGGTGGACGCCATCAAGGCCAAGCTCGACGCCGCCTGCCCCGGCGTCGTCTCCTGCGCCGACGCGCTCGCCCTCGCCGCGCGTGACTCCATCAGGCTGGTGCGTGCATCAGTAATTCAGTACAAGAGCATTTATTTAGATGAAAAAATAATATCATAGTGATGAGTTTGATGTTGATGAAATATGTACATGATGCATTGGCATGGGCAGACGAAAGGGCCATTCATCCCGCTCCCAACCGGGCGGAGGGACGGCAACAGGTCGGTGGCCGACGACGTGGCCTTGTTCTCGCCGGCCCCAGACGCCAACATCACTGACATCATCAACCTGTTTGCTATTAGGTTCAACCTCACTGCCAAGGACGTTGCCGTCCTCTCCGGTATGCTCCTTGTTTCGTATATATCCACACTTTAGTTTTCCATTTCTCCTATATTTCAGTTTTTTTTATGAAACTCCTATATTTTAGTTGCTTGATCTTTGTTGTTGTACCGTTTAGGAAATCTGTAATTTTATCATTGTTTGAGTATGGAGAAAAAAAATTGAATTGTCTCTTATGGGTTATCATTTTAATTTTAATACTTATTGGTTGTCTAAAATTGTTACATGAAAATTCAGGCATCAGAAATATAGCGACTCCTTTATTTTTCATAAAGTTCTTGTTTTTTAGGTGAATATATAATTGTTCCGTGCATGCAAGCAACTATGTTGTCTAGCGTCGAGGAGAAGATTTTCTTGTGAGTTGTTTTTAAGAAAAATCACAACTCTCCCATGCATTGGATGATTATGTATGAAGACGTGGTACAAATTTACGGTGGGTGCCGTGTCCGGTGGAGATAGTCCTCGCCCAATTTTTTCTGAGAAAGAAGGGTGATTTGGGAGGGCAAAAATGATAACAGTGAATTTTAAAGTAAAGTATATTGCAGCCTGATTTTTTAGTTTGAGATGCTCTTAGAGGGGTAATAGTACTACCATAAAAGAGGAGTCTTTTGTGGTAGCCTGAGGTGACCCACCTTTTTTAAAATGTTTGTACAACGTCCATCGTCGGAGCATTCTCTGTAACTAATACAACATAGGCCCGCTCTCCTGTCAACTGCAATTCTCTCTCAAGTCAAGTGTTAACTTTTGAAACAAACCATTTTAGGTTATTCACAAATTGTTCGATTACTTTTTGCAAATTACTACTTGCCTTAAGAAACCATGTTGAGTGCATAGACGCTCCATTCTAAAATATATAAGATGTTTCAATTTTGTCCCAAGTCTTTTTTTTTTAAGAAATCTTTTTGACTAAGTTAATAAAAAAATCATATCCACAATTTCAAATTAATTTTCTATTAAATCTTGAGAGCTCCATAGGCTCAACATTAGGCCCACTAGTATCTCTATTTGCATGTGAATGTGATGGATGAATCACTTCACTTTTTTCAGGCGCGCACACGATCGGGCAGGCGCGGTGCTCCACGGTGTCGCCGCGGCTGTACGACTTCGCCGGCCACAAGGGCGCGTCCGACCCGGCGCTGGACGGCAACTACACGGCGACCCTGCGCGGGCAGTGCAAGCCTGGGGACAACGCCACCCTCGTCGACCTCGACCTCGACCTCGACCCGACCACCCCGGCCATCTTCGACGCCGACTACTACGCCCTCGTCGCCGGCAAGAGGGGGCTCCTCTCCACCGACGCCGCGCTGCTCCAGTACCCTGCCACCCGCGACTACGTCGAGCGCCAGGCCAGCGCCGCCTCGCCGGACGAGTTCTTCGCCGACTTCGCCGAGTCCTTCGTCGCCATGAGCAGGCTCGACGTGCTCACGCACCACAAGGGCGAAATCAGGAAGGTCTGCTCCAAGGTCAACCCGCCGTCGGACAGCCCGCCGGTGGTGGTGCCGTCCCCGTCGTCCAGCGCCGATGCCACCGATGCCAGGAGCTACCAGCTGGCCGCCGCCACCGGCGGGTTGGCCCTCGCTCTGGCTGTGGCTCTCGTGCTCTGACTCTGATAGACTAGTCCAGCAAGCATGCTAGCACAGTGGTGCATTGGTCATTGTTGTTTATTAATTTGTGATTTGCTTCGATTTGGTTCTGATTTTTTCTTCTGACACTTGGTTCGTGGGCTTCCATGATTTTGCTTTTGCTTTTGCTTTGCAAGTAGATTTCTCTCGACGTGCATTTGGGCAAAATTGTGCTCGCATAGCATAGAGGGGCAGATGCCTACTACAGTGGGCGGCTGGCCAATCTAGACATCCAGTCCAATAGCAATAGGATGGGGGTGGATGGCAGGTGGCCTGACCAAGCAAATTAGCGTTGATGGCCACACATTGGCTGTTCACAAACTAGTCAAAGGACATGCACCTTAATTAAAGTGTCATATTTTCTGTAGGATGGAAGGAGCACAAGCTATTCAAGTGCAAGTAAGGACTTGGCATTCAAACAAGTTCTTCCATAAAGTTTGCAAAAAGAAAAGGCCTTTGATCTTCTAGCTGCGCTAGTGTTTCCTCCCAACTTTAATTTTCTCTTGCCACTTGACCCCTCTTCTTCCTGCTACTTCCTGTCGTGCCACCTCATTATTAATCTTTTAGATAAGAAAACTAAACTTTTTGTGCACATTGATTTGATCTTTTATCTCATTTTCTTCCGTGATGTTTGAGATCCAACTTAGAACCAAATCTAATGAGCCGAGTTGAGAGGAACTCCACCAGACTGACTAAAAGCAATTCTCTTCTCATATAACAAGCAACAAAGGAGATTGAGGAAAAAATATATGTTCTACCAGATCCTTTTTCTAATCTTTTTTTCTATTTTTTTCTCAATCCCTCAAATTCATCCATCACTCCGTTAAAGAAAGGGGAAACAACGTAGGATTTTCTCAATCCTCACTCTTACTTTCTCTCTCACTATCGTTTTGGGCCCATACTAAGCTAGGTAAGCGCAGAGGCGCCATGTTGGCGCCACCGCTTTGTCACGCCCGCGCCGTGGGGTTAGCCCTACTATGCGCACCGCCCTCGTGGCGCCATGTTTTACTCCAAGCCGTGCGGTCCGCCGACCACTCCTGCCGCAACACTAGCAGTCGAGGGCTGAGGCATCCCACACTGGGCGTTCATGCCACAACGCCGTTGTGCCAGTCAGGCCGCCACCGCAGTCGTGGCACAACACGCCCCACGCTGGGCAGGCGACAACCCTGCTACCACGAGTTGAGCGAACAAGCCCTGCCCGAGCAGACCGCCACCGCACCACATGGTGGGCGGGCGGGCCATGCATCATCGAGAGAAGGGAGAAAGAGAGATTTTTTTTCACAAGTGACATGTAGGTCCTATATGTTAAGGGGGTGGAGCTTTCTCAATCTGCTGGAGCACGTGGCCCCTGTACTCTCCAATTCGGTTCTCAATCCCCAAAAGTAGATTTTAAGGGAAATGGGGGCTGGTGAAGTTATTCTGAGATCAAAAAAAGCAACTGATTTTGAATTTAAAATTTGTTCTATTTTGAAATGGGCCACCGACATTTTTCTGGGTGCCTGATGTGAGGGATATACCCGTAGCAAAAACCTAGCATTTCCATTGAAGAAATCATGTTTGTACATTCAGCAACAACAAGTGAAGCCTGATGAAGATATAACTAAGCTGTTACAAGTTATAACTAGCATAACATATACAATTCCAGACTTGCTAGCGCCCGAACGTCGATCCAGGGTGCTAGCATCGGACGATGTCGCACGCGCAAGAGAAGGAGCCCCCGCTGCCTAGTTTTTTGCACGCCCCACCGCGTGAGCCCCCACGCCTGCGCTTGGTTTCTCTGCACCCGCTCAGCGGTGCCACGGCAACGGGCCCGCGCCGCTCGGATGTCACCCAGTAGCTGTAGCAGGTGGATGCGATAGGTGGATCCTATTGCAACATGTACAATACTAGATCTACTTTTACAACACAAAGGTGAAACACTTGCAACATACGTCCGAAAACAGCTGAAACACTTGCAACATACGTCTGAAACACTTGCAAAACACCTAGAAAAACACTTAAAAGCCATTGCAAACATATGCAACTCTAGATGAAACACTTGCAACAGGCGTATGAAACACCTAAAACACTTTAAACATACACTTGCAACGTGCATGTATATGCTACATCCAGATGAAAACACTTGCAACATACGTTTGATACGGTGGAAATATTTGGAATGTACACTTAAATCATACGTGTATAGCCATTGTAACATGCGCAACATCCCAATCTACTTTTGCAACATCCCGATCTATTTTTACAACATCGATATAAAACACTTGCAACATACCTCTGAAACACTCATATATTTGCAACATGTTCCTTCTTTAGCGCAAACATCTCCTTGTTGCTTCGGTGATTGGAGGCTCGTCAACACACAGAGGTCACCGGTGTGCTCGCCGGCGGCGCGGAGCTGGGTAGCGGCACACAAAAGGCGGGTGTGGAGGCGGAACGGGTGGCGGTGCGCGCAGGGTGGGTGGCGCGTGGAGGTCGCCGATATGCTCGTCGCCAGTAACGCGGAGCTAAGTAGCGGTGCACCGAGGGCGGGTGAGCGCGGTACAGGTGACGCAGAGAGTGCTCCGTTTCCGTATTCAATTCTTTTGCCCGGAGGCACAGACAGACATACCAAAGTCAAATACTACTATACTAGACGTGTAGCAGCTGAACAAGATGCTTGCATGGTGCCTCTGTGCCGCATTCATCAAGGGCCTCATCAGCTGAAAAGATTATATATATTGCAGTCGATCCAAATGTGTAGCAGTAGCATATTGTAATTGTAATAAAAACAAGACACTGCACGCACGCAAAAGGAACACGAAATCCAATCCTTTGTCCGGCGGGCAAGAATAAAGCGAGAACACGCATGGAACACAGGAAGAAGAAGAAGAGTTATCCAGAATAACAAGCTAGATTTAATCATTGGCAATAATTTGTGTGTGGCCACTACTAGTGTTTAGGAAATAGTAGTATACTCCTCACAATTACAAGTCCTAACCCATTTGCATTGGTGCATCCAGATACGGGTGGTCTCGTCTCCTCTGTCGCCGTTTGTTGGGCACATGGGAATGGCCTGCACGTCGTCGACGACGGTGCCGGTGGTGGTGCCGACCATGAACTGCGCGCATATCCAGCAAGCTAAGGTCAACGCGGCTGCCACCGCGGACGAATCAACATTCTTCTTCTTCTTCTTCATTCCCTGTTCGATTCGAGCTCGATCTCTCGCACGTCTCGGCCCACGTTTCTGTTCTTTATTTCTTAAACAAATAAGATCATCATCCTTTCAATCCTTGTTCTTGTTTCATCGAGCCTATAAATACATTATACATACATAGTGTTAGCCTTGTACTTGTACCTCGCCGTCGCCATACAAGCAGCAAGCAGTCCATCAACCTAGCAGCCGGCCACGACGCCCGCCATGGCCTCCTCCAGCCT